AATCCCGGTGCCGATGACAATTGCAAGCTCAGCATCCCAGACCTTTGGGAGGATCTAGAAAGTAGAACTCCCAATTTAGTACCCTGTACTATGGCTGGGTAATTGGTAGGAACCCCTTCGAAGGGATGTAATTTTCTAGATCCTCCCTAAACCCTAAACCTTAAAACCTTAACCCCCTAGATGGGATCTAATTTCTAGATCTTTCCAGGAGTCTGGGATGCAGAGGGCTGCAAGTAAACCTCTTCCTTTCCCGAACTCGCGTCACAAGCTAGCTCCCACTGTTCTGCCATGTAGGCTGGGATAAGCGAAGGTCCCTTAAACCCCAAAGGTTATTTGCGTTTTTATGTGTAGATCTTTATATGCGAGCACCTCCAGAAAAGAAAGATATACGTGTGGGGTTTTCCGGTCCTATAATTCCACCTTGCAGTGAATGAAGGTGACGGTTGAGCATTCACCACATGTGATTGTTCTGCATTTTTTCCTAGAGTATTGCATGACTAGTTTCAGGCGCCCTGATTCCATGTTGGCTGAGTCAGACATGCACCAAGCGGTCGCTTGAACTTCCTGTGCCAGAAAGGATTGCCTTTCATTAAGCCACCCGTCTGATTGACATTTTCGCTTATCCCCATATTATCTCTCCTACTAATGGAGAATCAAATCAAAAAAACATGGAAAATGAAATGGAAGCTGCCAAAAATTAGGGTTATATAAGGATTATATAACCTGTTACTATTCATGGATGTTTATACGAGACATTTCCACTTTGCCGTGAATGAGGCTCTCAGGTGGCAGGGGCTACAATTTTGATTTTTGTTGGGCACGCTTGTCCTCGCATGCCGGCTTCTAGACAAGGAGTACGCCCACGGACAGATGTCCCCTTGTTGTTGTTCTTGTTGCTGTTGCTGTTGCTGTTGTTGTTGTTGTGGTTGTGATTTATCAGCTCTGCTGCAGCCATAGCAAGCTGGAACCAATACTGCGATGGTGTCGTTTGTGTAGCTTTTTTTCTGCATTCTTTTGGATGGATTCTGGAGGTGATCCAAGTTGCACACAGATTGGTCTTAACTTCATGTGACTACACCGTCTTGCATCTTATGAACCTTTCTACACATCTTATTCTCCTCCAACATAGCTTGATGCAGATGCCAGAGCTAAGACGACATTGCACATGTAGCACACGCTTTGGAACCCTTCCCATTTTTCAGTTGCATGAATGTCATGTAAGACTTTCAGCATGTCAAGACAAACATGACGCTGGCGGCGTTGCTGGCTGATGCTGAGTCGGTGAGCCCGCGGCCGCAACTCCCTGGAAGCATTCCCGTCACCGCTGAGCCTACAGGTACTTTTGGGGACATGTGCGACAGCATGAAAGTAAATTTTTGCTCGAACTGGTAAAGGCAATGCAAAAGATTAAAACTTCAGCGGCAAGTCAAGGCACACAACTCCTCCACAAACAGACCACTGCGCCTCAACGCAAGCCTACACCATTATCGCACCCTGCATCTTACAAAAACCATACTGTCGAAGGTTCCAATCAGCCGTCACCGCAAGCTTCCCTGGCCGAACCATCTCCAAGCTCTGGCAAGTTGGAGGTGGAGGGCCTTTATCCTTTCTCTTCTTACGCGGAGAGTGTTTGGTTTGTGGATAATGTTCAAGAAGCGTTCTTGATAAGATCGGTACTTGCATTTTGAATGCCTGCAGTGGGGATCGCTTTGCTCTTCAGGCCGAGGATCTGGAATTTTGTGTTTGACTTCGTGTAGAATCCGTTGGAGCTCAAATGTGGAGGGTTTTGGGGTTGAGGAGGCTTGTTGGATGCGCAGGCGTTGGAAGGAAAGCAAACGAGTACTGCAGTGCGCTTTCAAGCTGCTGCGCCTTGGACAGCACTCTAGCGCATGTGAGCATGTGCAGGTTTCTGACTCCACCCACCCCTCCAAGCCCCTTACGGGCTATTCATCCCTATCTAAGCCCTGTAAGGACCCAAATAGAGCTATAGGATATAGTCTCAACTCCTTAAAGGGGGTTATGTAGGGAATTCTATAATATGGGGGAGTTTTTTTGTTGAGGGGGATGCTAGGAGTTAGACTGTATGGCTCAGTTAGGTGCACAAAAAGCTGGGCACTTTTTTGGACAGCCAGCAACGAGCATCTGAGAGGTTGTCGCGCTCAAGAAAGTCCGAGGATTTTGAAGCTCGGGCATACGCTGACCAATATTATAGGGCTTACGATTTACTGTTTGAGGTTTAGGGTTCATTTTGGGCTTAGGGTGTAAGGTTTGATAGTGGTGGTCGGTGGTCAGGTCCCATTTTGGGTACCCTAAACATTTCAGAGGCCGCACCATCTCTTTGACAACGGAGATTAAGGAAACTCCGGAGGCCCGCGATCGCGACCGCCTAGCGGAGCAGCTTGCAAAGCTGAAGGTGGAGAGCGGCCGGGACATATTTGAGCAATGTTTTGAGAGCACAGGGTTTGTTTGTTTGTTTGTTAGTTGGTTTGCTTCAAAGTTGGATCGCTGTTGCTGTTGCTGTTACGGAACGAAGGGATAGTTGAATAAGTGATTTCGTGAATGAATGAGTGAGTGAACGAACAAATGAATCATTCATTGAATGAATGAATGAATGAATGAATGAATGAATGAATGAATGAATGAATGACTGAATGAATGAATGAATGAATGAATGAATGAATGAATGAATGAACGAACCTCAGTGAGTTCGTGAGTGAGTGTTTGAGGATTTTTTTCCATTTTTGAATTGCGAAACGTACAGAGCGTTCCTTGCGCGGCATAAGCACTAGCAGTTTCAGACATGCCAGCGAAGACAGGCCTTGAGCCATATAGGATCCCCATGTGCCCCGCCTCGAAAGGCAAGGCAAAGCAGGCAAAACAGCGAAAAAGACCCAGCATGACACAGCATACACCTGGCAGGGCCGATTGCAACCCTCCAGAGCAGGCGTGGACGGATCCTGTTCCTGGACAGAAAGAATCATTCCGTTGGTCGCGTGTAGGAGCTCGATGCCGGCTTGGGTGATTTGTGTGCTGTGTGCGATGATGAGCTCGGCGTCCCTCATCCCAGCATCCATGCAGGGGCTGTGCTGAAATGGCCGTGATGTTGCGTGGTACAGCTGCAATTCAGCACCCTCATCGGGACCGATGCTCTGGTACCAGCTCGATATTGGGGGAATGCCCCTGGCGTGCCCGCACGTGCCAGGCGTTTCCCATAACGCTTAAACTCAAAGCGATTCTTGTCCCGACTGTCTCAGCTCCTCTTCGGTCGGCTCCAGTCTTCCTGGGGACGGTTTTCAACATATTTGCGAGCAGAACAAATCCATGAAGATGGCGGCTACTGCCCTTGGAATTTCTTTGGCTCAAGTCCTCATGCTTTGATGAACCCCTTGGGGGGCCGGCCTGTCTGTTGTCCTGAGCCTTGAGGTTTGTCCTCCTCTCCCACTTGATCCTGAACAGAGAGCATAGCCGATTCTTCGAATGTAGCCTCGCCCGGCAGGGAGCAAAGATAGTTGAGCTCTAAAGTAGAGTTGATGGCATTGGTGTCGTGCTGTTGCGTAAGGACAGGCCTACCTCTATGCTTCGCATCGTTAAATGGCTTAGCAACAGAAAGCAAACTTGCTGCTTCCATCAGGCGTGAGGCAGCGGACCTGATAAGCCTCACACCCCCCCGCCTGATGCCGCGTCACCTTGATAGGGGACGTGCAGCCGATCAGTCCTCCCTGAAAGGCTGACGCAGGCAGATGGGGCCCGGACTTGGGACCCGGACGGCTCCATGTAGCAGATGCGATCCGCTGGCACCCGAAAGAACCATGGCTGAGCCCCATTTGTCGGCTGCACATGCCTGCAGCACCAGTATTCAACCGCCAACCCTAAACCCTACCTTGTAAAGACGTGTATTTGTTCTATTCACCACGTTTAGGGTTTAGGGTTTCAGCAAATTCCTGTCTGCTTATCGGCGCTCCCTCTTTGGCCCCGCCTCAGTCCATCACGTTGAGACTCGATGGGCGGTGCCCAGCATATGCTCTCTGTGGTTTGCAGTGGTGGCGTGCTCATCTGCAAGGCGGGTGCGTCTTTTCCGTCGGCGCTTCCTATGTGGAGCCGGAGCTGTCCGCTGGGCATGAGATAGGGATTATATAGGGATAATGGAACATGGAAACTACGATAGTACAATAGGGGATGTGGTGTAGATTGTAGCTCTCACTACTTTCCACTCCCGCAACATGGACACATGGATTCTGCATCGGAAGGTTAGGCTGAGTGCTTGACGAGCCGGCACTTGAGGACAACCGCATCCCTTGGGTTGTTGGGCATTTTGTTCCACATCTTCCCACCTCAGCCAGCAGTATGTCTATCTGCTCTTGGGGTCCTATGAGCCTTGTTGATATGATAGGATCCATATGGAGGGCCTGTCTTTTCACTGGTGTCTTCGAGTCAGAGCTCTTCCGCACATCCATGGGGCTGGGTTTTCGTTCAGATGCCACTCCATCGGCCTGCGGCAACCTGGGGAAACATAGATCCAAAATAATCCCCACCTCCGACCGAACATCAATACCCCAATACTCCCGTGATTTCCAAAACGGTCCCGGCAAGCCTACCATGCTCTTCGTCCGAAGCGTTCTCGAACGCTTCTCACGGCAGTTCCGATTCGTTCAGCTAGGCTTTTGAATGCGGTTTGTGCAGGAGGAGACAGCTCAGTCTCAGGATTCATCTCCAAAACGCAGTACGCCCAATTCTCTCACACAGTGGTGCGTCCACGAAAGAACACTTCGCTTGAGCCGTGGTGCTTAGTGAGTGAGAGAAGGGGCGTGAGTGGTGGTTGTTGTGGTGGTGGCGGCGCCAGCCGTGGCTGCATTTGCTACAGGTGGCACATTTTTTTTGGGAAGAAGTGCTTCACGGTGGCCACCGCTACGACCATCCTGTTAAATTCGTGCAGCTCGTGTAGCGCTGGTTTGAATCCTTTTTGTATGCCTTGGCTTTGAATCAAAAGAGGCTTGCAGCACATGGTCTCTACGGTGGAGTGCAATCTGGGTGAGCTATTGCATGAGAGTCGCATGATCTACTTCACCAACGAGTCGCCCAGATGAAAGAACCTGTTTGATTTCTGTGCTATTTCCAACCAATGGGTCAGGCCTGGTAAGGGATCCTACAGGTCGAAAAGCAAAAATGGAGGACAGCCTTTTTCATGATGGTCGTTTTGGGAGCAGGACCTTTGATCAACTGCCATACCCATACACCAAGTCTAAAGTTCAAGGTACGCAGCATCTTTGCTAGTTCAATCAATACCATATGCCACTACCGCACAGATCTTGCTGCAGATCTTTGATCCCAGGCAAGCATTGCATTTCTCTGCCGACCGCATGCCAAAAGTGCGTGAAGCACTCGGTCTTCAGGAACCCAAGCTGCTCAGATGGGGTTCAAGTTGCAAAAGGCTTTCTGGTATTTGGTCTGTGTTTGTGTGTAAGTGTGCGCGCGCTGAGGCATGTGTATGGGTGCTTGTATGTTGTCGCAAGCATAGGCGAGGCATGTAGCCACGAGACAAACCAAAATCCCATAAGCCCAAACCCTGTAAAGGGACTGGTGCTGCCCCGTACACCCTGAACCCTAAATTCATCTAAATGCTCAACCCCTAAGGCTCGTGATCTTGCTGGTTCCATCTCTTCTTGGCCGCAGCTACTGGAAGCTGGCGCTCTTCGTTAAGATTTTGCAGGTTGAAGAGTTGGTAGATTCCCAAACCAGAGGGACCCCGGTATAGAACCCAAAACATAACAGTATCATCCTTATTCTAGGCACCCCGACAAAAAAGGTGCCCCTAATTTTGTGAACCCCCAGTTAAGTCTGACATCCAGTGCCCTAAACCCTAAACCCGAAACCCTAAATCCTAAACCCTAAATGCTAGACCCCTAAACCCTAAAATCCAGGAATGGGCGGCCAAAGTTGAAGGATTTGTTGCCCACAAAGACCGTTCCTGAGCTGCCTGAGCGGGAAGAGGTGGTAGAGAAGCAGCTGAACCTTGTCTTCAGATCCAGCATCCTTTGAGCCATAGTCCAAACTCCTTAAAGGGGGCTTATAGGGGATTATATAGGGAACCACTATAGAGGCTATTAAGGGGGATACTAGGAATTTAGACAATGGTTCATTTGGTTTGAAGAGGGTTCAGGAAGAAGTCATCTGTGCTTGAGCTATGCTTCCTCTCTTGTGTAGTGTTGGACAGCGAAGTGCCTTGCTGACTTCAGCAATGCTAGCATCACGCAAATTTCAGCTCCGTTTCCGTAGAGAACTCAAGCTTGTGATTTGTGGTTGTGATTGAAATGCATGGGCTCTCACATTTTTCAATATTTCTGCATTCCGTGGCTGTTTCGCACGTTCAGCCGTCGATGCCTCTAGCAAGGGTTACTTGGCACCGTCAGTCCTGGCATACCTTTGGAACATCCTCCACGTTTGATCTCTGCTGTGCATTTCCGCTTGCCAGAGAGATCTCGGGAGGTCAGCCAGTTTAAACAAAAGACGTAGCATGTAGTGCCCACCTGAGGGGGCAGGAAATATACAGATGTTTCCTCGTTCGTGGCGGCAAAGCCTTACATACATCCTTCAAAGGAATCGACAGTGCACATGTTGCATGATTAATTTCAGTGAGCGCTTCTCTGATACGCTTGGGCCGCATAGGCCGTGGGGTGTTTTAGTGGCACCGCTGGCATTGAGATTGTTAGCAGCATGATCACACAGGTTTGCATCTGAACCATAATATAGTATAATATAGTATAGTATGTTATAATACTAACATAGTATAATGCATTAAAAAATATCATAACATAGTATAACATACCTATTTTGAAGGGTTTGGTCATCCTTGGCCTATCTTGCTTTGACCCCCCCCTCCCCCCCCCCCTTTCACTATTTGCTTACAGCAGTCTGCAGCTCAATATGGAGAGACTTTCGATTAAGGCGGTGCGGGAGTCTCTTGTGGAGCAGATACATGTTTGGTGTCGAGGGTGCATTCCAGCATGTAGGGGTTGAACTAGCATGTTCACTAGTGGATTGCATGAGGCCACCTGATTTTACTTGATATTAATTCGTTGAACATCTGGTGTTTCGGGTTCGTTTCGACTGTTTGCCAGATAAACATGCAAAGGAATGTTATCGCACGGGAAGTGCTACTCCCTGTGGCATTGCAGACGAAGGCATTGATTGTTGGGAGGAGCTCGTGTAGCCTTACAAATGCCTTTGCAGAAGTCAGCGAGCCTATTCAGAACAGCCTTGGGGAGTCTTGCCCATTTCAGATGGTTATTTTCGAGCATGCGCAAAATTTACATATGAGCACCGTTCTGAAGCCAGACTGCTTGGAAAGGAAGCTTCAAAGGACCAACGATGCCTGGAACCAGGCCAACTTCATTCCATCCCTTTCGGATTATTATGGTGTGGACCCAGTTCTCTGGCCACGCTACACGCTTGTGGAAGGTGCTGCAGCCTACTTCATCTTTGAGTGTCTCAATGACCAGAACCCCCCTCTGCATGATCCACGAGCCGCTGTACAGTTTGAAACCATGTTTCTTTCTTCGCTGCGCAGCTCGTTGCCTGTGCTGGCACTATGGACGGGTGGCGACAAAAAAGTGCTTAAGTTTGAGGCCTTGAACTACGTGACAAATGGTATTCCTCTGATTCTGCTGGACAGCAGATGGCTGGAAGAGACAAGGGAGGAACATGATGAGATAGCAGATATGCGCTTGGACTCACCTGTCACCTACAGAACATCGGACATAGCAAGGGAGAAGGACTGCAGCGAAAACAGCGAGGCTTTGTATCAGGCTTTCGACAGGCTGACAGCACACGCAAAAGCGTTGAATGAGATCGGCTTGTACGACACTCATATCGGCTCAGCAATGGCATGTGTGCGTGCCGGCATCCGCAAGAAGGAAAAGATCAAGCAGCAGCGGAAAGATCGAAAGCTTTGGCTACATGAAGCCATAGTCCAAGCAATGCTCGAATCGCATCACAACAGTGCCCCTACAAACCTACAACACGATGTCGCCCATGCAGCATTATCCGCAGAAGATGAGAAGATCATCCAAGCAACAGATTTGTTCATCGACTATGTTGCAGAGCAGACATGGCAGGACGCCCCCCCCCCGGGGTTTGTGTCTTTGCTTCATTCTAGGAAGGCCTTAAGTATAATCCCCACATAACCCCAATATATGACCCCTAATATACACCCTATTATACTATAGTAGTTTCCATTTTTCCATTATCCCCACATAACCCCAATATAAGTCAGCTGCCAGCCCAGGCTGCATGCCCCAGCTCTGGCAGGGTTCAGTGCTTTAGCAAGTTGTAGGGCATTCAAGGGTTTAGGGGTACCTGTCCAAGGGGTCATGTGGGTTGTTTATTGCCCCCAATAACGGAGAATCACTTGGAAAGGAACATGCAACATGACATGGACAATTTACATGGAAACTTGCATTTTGGAGGTTTGTGCAAAGCGTGCGCTGGTGTAGATGAAGGCCTCACTGTCTTGTTTCGTCCATGAACGGGTCAGTTGTGCTCCGCAGGTCTTTGTGAACTTAAACCTCTGTTCTGCCGCCTCTCTGCTCCTGCCAAAAGCTTCTCCTCACGCGCAGACCGAGATAGGAAGAAATGTCACCTAATATATACTGTTACAGGGCGGGTGCAGCACCCAAAATATGCCTCAAGCGCATGGTAACCCTAAATCCTAAACCCTAAATCCCTAAATCCTCAAACTGAACCCAAAATATACATTATCTTCGAATCATGTGTTTTCCGCGGAGTCGAGAGCCAGGCCTTGGTCCGGAAAAAGAAATCTCGGAGATACTATATTATATAGTCTATGATGTACACATATGTAAGAGTTTAGGGTTTCAGAAGGGACTGGGTTTAGGGTTTAGGTATATCACATGTTCTATGATATGCATATATATACATTTTACATATGTATGGTGTATGTTTTTTTTTCATGACACATATATACATATATGTAAGCATAGTATTTTTCTTTATCAAACATTATAGCTTATCTAGTTTTGTAAGTTGTCTGAGCTAGAATCTAAACTCCATGAAGGGGATCATATAGGGGACTACTATAGGGGTTGTTAAGGGGCATACTCGAAGTTTAGACTGTAGTTAATATGATATGTACATATATATAATATATATATATATGAGCATCGTATGTTATATAACATACATGATAGTATGTATTACATCATCTTTTGTTTTTACATGTATAGCGTAAGCAATGAGAGGCTGGCTTTCATGAAGTCATTACTGGGTTGGGGTGTGCTTTTGGACGTTCTGGCTCCCCACATCATCGTGGTTCTGCCAGCTTGGTTCGCCAGCTTCCTTAGGCAAGAGATCAGGTCGCAATTTGATTTGCTTCTGCCTGCCTTCTAGCTTTGACAGTACTTCTTGTGCACGGAGGTGTATGTTGATCACACCCCTGGACGTGCTAACTACTGCTGATGTTACATGTCGAGCTTTCCACCGACCGTTTTTGGTGCTTCTGACCGAGCAGATGAGATCTGTTGCAAGGCCCTGCTTGGGGCGGCAGTCCAGGTACTTCCTTCCTCCCACAGGACATACAGATCCTTGTATGGCCGCTTTGGCTTGATTCTCTCGGTCCCGCTAGCAGTTCGTCCTACCTGGCTTTTTGGCTCCTGCATTCTCTCCGGAAAAAGGACGGTCTTGACTTGTTTTGCCAGGCGTTGCTGCTTAGGTGTGGTAGCTAGCGGCAGTGAAACTCCCTCCGCTGAAAACACAGGCTCAACTTTCAGCCACAAGACCGTGCTGTAGATTCAGTTTGACTACAGTGGCTGCTGTGTGAATGAGTGTGGACGACAATGCTTGAAGGTAAGGCTAGATTTGAGTTGAAGCTGACATCAGTTGCTTGAAGTGTGTCTGCATGCTTCAGGAGTCCGTGACCAACACATCCTTGCTGGAGCTGGCAATTGGGGCGCTTGGTGCCTGCAGGTTCGTGGGGCGAAATCTCAAGGGCAAAAACTGGAAAGTCCCGGAGTCCCGAAACCGAATCAAAACAGCTGATTTGCCCTTTCAGAAGTCGTGCACCAGGAATTGGCAGCAGTTGGAGGCCGAATGGGCAAAAAGGTGGGTCCAGTTGCAGTATTATGCGGTCCTCAACGGATGGGATGCATCGGTGGATGGAATCAAGCTCATGAAGGTCCTCATGCAGGAGGATTTCCACGATGCCGGCCTTGGCCTTACAGAGCTATCATAGCTAGTTATGACATGTAATAACTGAAGACAGGATGATGAACTACGCTAGCAACACAGGCACTGATGACAATCACGTTGGTGCATGTCGCTGCAGGCTGTATTTGCGCCAAACCCTGCTGTCAACTTTTTGCTGCATGTTTGTCCTGATCGCCGCGCTTGGGGGGCATGTCTGGAACATGTTTTGATGGGTTTCGTGCATTGGCAACGTTCCGAGTGCTTCAATCTGTAGGAAAGCGGGGGCCAGAGCAGAGAATAATCATTGTGGCGCTGGCGAGGGAAGCTAGCAACGTTCTGACGCTGAATCGTGTAGCTGCAAAGGCCAGCACAGCTTAGCTTTGGATCCTTAAAGTGCAGCAACAGAAAGCATGTACTTTCAAGTCTTCTGACAAACATAAAGCTTGGTCTCGCTCGTAAAAACATTCATTGCTTGTGCTCTGGGAGCCTGGTAAGATGAGCTCCTTCAAGGGGGGTATATAGGGGATTACGTAGGGTGCAGGGTTTAGGGGTTCAGGGTTTAGGGTTCAGAATAGAGTGACCTGGGCAAGCCTTGGATGCACCCGAAAGAAGGTTGGCCGGACTCGCCAAGCAGGAAGTGGAACAGATGAGCCATAGTCTAAACTCCTTGAAGGGGGTTCCATAGGAGAGTACTAGAGGGGTTCTTAAGGGGAATGCTAGCAGTTGAGACTATAGCTCAGATGTGGCCAAGGCACGAGCCTGTGAAGCAAAATGTCACCAGGAAACGAAGGAGGGGAGTTTTCGGAAGGTCGGGTGCCCGGAACCAGATTGGGAAAAATTGGCTGTTGGGCTGTTGAGACACACCAAATGACGGTCGCCAGGTGTGGTGAGAGCGTGTTGGACAAGTCGTGTAAGATTTGACACGGATTTTCTGCGCTTGATCGCGCGTCACATTGGGGCTGGGGTGGGGGGAGCGCCCATTGGACAGGCAAGAAGATGCAGCAAGAGGGCGGTCAGTGGTCAAAGAGGGCAGTTGAATAGGGTGACAATTGCCCAGACTTTGCAGATTCGTGTGCTTGGCACTGTCGGCTCTATAAGGTGTTTTTCGGGTGCGTCTGAACAGAGAGGAGCTGGAGAAAGCTGGCATGCCATACGAGAAAGCACACGTAGCTATCAAGGAGCAATTGTCGTCCTGGCTAGCAGATGTGAAACTTGGGTGCTCTTCAGAAGTATTGGGTTCAGGGTTTAGGTGTTTTATATCTGAAGTTTCTTGGTCCCAACGGTTGATGGAAACCCCGGAACTACGCTACAAAGAAGAGATGAATTGCAAGAGTGTCATTCCGAGGAATGAGTTTAACAAACTCAACAAGCATCCACGGGCAGTCAAGAGCGACAAGAGACTCTGGCTGGCCGCATATGAGGTCTTGAAGTCCCCTGACGTTTACAGTTGCAAGCTGAGTGAGCATCGGAGATTGAAACTTGGGATCTAAGCATAGAAATCTTCATCGTGTCACATTAAGGAAGTTGTCAGATTCATCGTGCTAATGCGGTACAACTTGTAGTGTATACTGCGTGGCAGATCTTTTTCTCATTCGCCTGTTTCGCTTTTCTGTCGGTAGATTTCTGGGTTTTCTAGATCCTTTTGACAAGCATAAGGAAGATGATCATCCAGACGCTCTCACGGTCCGACAGGCTCCCCGACCATAGCTCCCTTGAGGGCTTGTTGCTGCTCCGTTGTGCCTGGACCTTGGCTGATGCGTTTCACGAGAAGGCTACGAGACTGAAATTTCTGGCCAAGCTCTCCTTTGGGATGTTGCTTCTGCTGGGTGTCTTGATCACCTTTGTTACTACCTCCGTATGGGCGGAGGATCTTTCGGAGGAAGCTTGCTGGCATTGACAGCGTTAACCCCCCCAAAGATTCCCTGAGACATATCGATACAAATGCCCGTTCTGTCAGAACTTTTTAGCACTTGCTCCAGGTTCCCTTGAAGAAAGCAACAAATATGCTCCTGCGGGTAGGGTGTCTTATTAGACTTTGGGGGCCTTCCTCTGTCGACGGATCCCACACACATGCAAACCAAAACATATACTAGATACATTCATTGGTTCGGCACATGTATAGAGGGTCTCTGATTTTCATGGTTTTTCACTCTTTAGAGCTGTCGACTGGGCTGCTGTTAAGGAACTTAAATTAAGTTACTATAGTTAAAGAATGCCCGCTATTTGCTATGTACCCATAGTCTGGTACCTTAAAATTCAGTTCCTGAACAACACACCCAGACGAGGACGGGAAGAAGTAAACCCTAAACCCTAAACCCTAAATCCCTAAACCCCTAAATCCCTAAACCCTAAATCCCTAAACCCCTAAATCCCTAATCCCTAAATCCCTAAATCCCTAAATCCCTAAACCCCTAAACCCCTAAACAGTAGGACGGGAAGAAGTTCACAGTGCTGGGTCTCGGCCTGGCCTCCAGTAGTCTGGCTGCTTGGACGACCTTCACAGACCCAACCAAGCAGTGGATGAAGCTTAGAGCCTTGGCGTTTAGGGTTTAGGGTTTAGGGATTTAGAGTTTAGGGTTTAGGGATTTAGGGTTTAGGGTTTAGGGTTTAGGGTTATCAGGGGAACGCTAAAACCTAAACCCTGAACCCTGAACCCGACACCCTTATAGAGGGATTCTATAGGGACTATGTAGGCAGTCTATTCTACCATGAGCGACCCCTCCAGTTGATCGGTCAGGACTAAGTCAGTAGTACTGGTATGGATTTCAGATATCCCGCCCATATGTGCATCTGTGGTAGGGCCATGGGTTCTTGCCCTTGTCTCTGGGGCTGGGTAGGTCTCATGCCAAGCAAAGCCACACTTGTGAATCCCTACAAGTTTGCACAGCAGCCATGTCTTTTATTTGCGAATCTCATGATAATTAGAGGAAACTTATTACATGTTTTTAAACTTGGTACAGCGCACGCCGCCACCAATTTCGCGGCACTGGGTCCAAAGTCTGATGACCGTTGCGTGCTACGTCCTTAATACCAGGTCGCACGGTCTGTTCTTGGGACTTGCAGTCGCTTTCGTCACAACCTCTTGTTTGAATCTTCTCTTGTGGCATCCTCAGCACCTCCTCGCTCAACTCTTGATTTCAGCCAACAGGGAGAGAGATCCTGTTACATTTTTCCCCCTGTGACCTGCTTGCGGATGTCTTTCGTCAACCACCTCGCTTCGGTTAGAGCTCAGAGCCCCGATGCGGAGCCGAGAATGTCGCACTCACATCCGAGGTCTGTAGGAAACTTTTGGAGGGCTACATAGGTTTGTCCTAGGGTTGGCAGCAAGCATTATGTGATATGACACATTTGACATCTGAAACAACTATGGTCTTGCAATGCGTTTGCTATGCTTCATATCTGGAAAATCTCCAGCCCCATCATGGTTTCCTTCCACGAATGATATCTTAAACTTGACCGCGAAATGTGAAAGGATCTGACTTTGTGTCGCTCTTAGCACGTAGCTTGGGTGTGTGCTACATGATGTTACCCCACTATTCCCCATACTTGTTGCTCGACTCCTCATCCAGGAACCGCCTGCCAAAGGCTGCAAACGGAGATTTGGATGTTCAGGACCTTCTGTCACAGTCCGAAACAGTTTGTGCAGCATCCTAAGACCTAAGCCCTAAACCGCGTGGCATTGGACCCCTGGAAGAATGGCTTGGGGTCGAGCAGGCTTTAATCCCCTGAAAGGACGCGCGTCGGCGAGTATGGAAGCGCGGACTTCAGACACATCAACGTGGGATCTGATGAAATTGAAAGACAGGCCAGTTGAGGAATGTAAACCCGTCTCATATTTGGAGTTGTAAATGTGCATTGACAGGCGGAGGAGTGCTTCCGCGGCAGAATCTTTGCTATCGCAGACTCCGCGCTGGGGCCGAAAGACCAATTGGCGGACCACCTGCCGACCGACGAAGTCTGTATTCGGACCGATGGCGACAAAAACAAGTCCGAAAAGCTGAAGATGATGAATGAAAGGCTGCTAGCGAACAAGCTAACAGTGACACATCAGCGCCACATGCAGTATCCCGATCTGGCAGGCACTGGGCCGAAAGAGAGGCCATGTGCTGATCGAGACAGCTACCATGCGCCGGCCAGCCCAGAGGAGTACATTATTTGGAGGCTGACCCCGTTGCGTGCCTTCTATGTGCGTCGGATCCCAAAGGTCCGTCGCACTCGGATGCTCATGCAAATATTTTTCATGGCATCAACGAGCGCCACTGCAGTATTGGCTGCCGCGAATCAGACATCTTGGACACCCATGGTGGTGGCCATCTCTGCATCACTGGCGTCCTGGCAAGAATTCCGTGGTGTGGACATGAAATTGGAACGCTATGGTGCTGTGATTGCTGTCCTTCGCAGTCTTCTGCTTTGGTGGCAGACGCTCCCCGAAGCAGACAAGGCCAAGCACCAAAACGGCCATAAGCGGACAGAGTTCTGCCTGGTTGGGCTCTGTGGGCGTAGTGTCATAATCCTCCTCCATTGGCAGGTAATTTCTCTGTGCTGATGCATTTGGTCGCACAGTAGTTCTGAACATGCACAGCCAAAATATATATCCCCTAGATGGAGATTCCCTCTATGAGGTTTTTCTAGCCACAGTTAAACATCGCCTTGCTTCTCTTTTCAGGGCTCTGTCCTCAGGCATGTTTTTCGGTAGCGTAGACAAAAGGCAGCAGTGATCCTTTGCACTTTGCTGCTGCCCTCAAACTGCCACTCGACCCGAAGGCCAACATCCGTCACATCGAGAGGCCGGAATCTCAATATTGGCTTCTTTTCGGCCGGGAAAAGGATCTTTATCGTAGTCCCTATATTTCTGCCATAGTGACACTCCTCAAAATCCAGCCCTTCACCCCCCAAGAAGAGAGAGCGGAAAAAGAAGCAACCATTTCAGAGGTCCGGAAAGGAGGAGTTGGGCTGCAGGACTTTGGAACCCGTAACCATCCTTCATGAACTCTAATGCAAAAGGGCTCTGCCGCCCAAATGACGGCCCGAACAAGATCCTTCGAGTACGTAGAGGTGCTGAAAGGCGGTTTTCAGACCACAGTAAGATGAGAGTCTCCTGCTCAACAGGCAGACTGGATTCACTTTGTACAATCCACAGCTTCAGAAGCAGAAGATTCGCATTAACCTGGACCGATTTTTGATGGGATACTTAGATTTGCATCTCGTAGCGCTGAAGACATGGAGGCAATGGTGATAGAAGTATGTTAAACCCTGAGGGCCTTAAATCCCTACATTCCCCCAGTTTCCATTTTATTTTCTAGTTTTTTTCCATTTGATTCTCCATTATTGAGGGATGACAGAGTATCATCTTGGGAAGGCAAACGCAAGGATTCCCTGGCTTGCTCATACTTGCCATGACCTGGACATAAGCTTTGACCTTTTTCAAGCCTGGTTTAGGGTATGTTATCCCTCAATGATGGAGAATCAAATGGACAAGAACATGGAACATTGAAACTGGGGGAATGTAGGGATTTAAGGACTTTCAAGCCAGCAAGAAACAGATTAGAACATATTAGGTTGGTCGGGAAATGCGAGACGGCGGCTTCCTCGGAGCTCGCTGCCTGGTTGAGCGATGCCCAACAGGCTCCTTCGCCTTTGCCAAAGATTCAGAGTTTTATCCCCCCTAAACCCTAAACCCTAACCCCGACTTCCTTGACCATGCTTTGGCAAGTCTCTGAACAGCCTGACCTTGATACCCAGTCTCTGCACTCACGCACCTGAAATCCAGAAACCAGGGTGTTGGCATTGAAAGCATGGAAAGCCCTAAACCCTAAACCCTGAACCGCATACAGACGGGACTCATAAACGGAACATGCCAAAGCCCCGAACCCCCAACACCCAAACAATTCGCTGGCGCAGTACATGGTAGTTTCCCCACAGGGGGGAACCCCAATTTAGACCCCAAAGACTATAGTCCTTATTATTGGGATCCCCAAAAAGGTACCCCGAATTTTGGGGAAAACCCTAATCATCTAATCCCGATGAACCCCTATATAACCCAAGTTTCCATTTTATTTTCCATGTTCTTTTCCATTTGATTCTCCATTACAAGGGTAAATGGCACCCCTAATTTCGGGAACCAAACCCTAAACCCTAAGTAGTAGCTTTCATTTTCTTTTCCATTATCCCTATATAATTCCTATATTCCAATACTACTATATTACCCCAAGGAACCCCCCACATAGCCTGCCCACCCACCTTCAGGCTCGAGATTTCATGGTCAAGGCCAACTCTCAGGCCCAGGAGCAGAGCCGGGAAGGTGCAAAGCAGGCGAAGCCACCGCAGAAGTGAGGTGTGCTTCACTGGCTGCTCGTAAGTGGGGAAATATGGGAAGCCAGAAGGTCCTTCATTTTTTGTTTGCAAATTTGTGAATTGTGAGGAAATCTACAAGGGGCCAGTTTAGTTCACTGTCGGATCCTGTAGCTTCGAGGGTCTTCAAGAGGAGGAAGCTAGAGATGTTCAAGATGGTATATTGGAAGTATTTACTACCCTATTATACTTTAGTAGTTTCCATTTTCTTTTCCATTATCCCCATATAACCCCAATATATACCCTATAATCCCTATATAACTCCTATATCATCCCTATAGTTCCCATTTTCTTTTCCATTATCCCTAGATTATCCTAATATTGGTGTGAAGGCGCAGTTTCCTGCTGTGAGCCTGCCAAGATGGCGCTTCAGTGGGCAAAGAATCTGCCGACTTACGCAGAATCCAATGGGTAGTTCTCAAAATTCTGGGCTCCCTTTTGGTCATGGATTATATTACGGCACCTAGTGTTTAGGGGTACCACAAGAAAGGGGTCTGAATTCTGGGAACTACCCTAAACCCTGAACAGTGGCAAAGACTGCCACAGGGCCTCTCAACCTTCCGACGGAAGGGTCGAGGAGGTGGATTCAGAGGAAGGGAAAGACAAGATGATGCATATGAGCTATAGTTTAAATTGCTTAAGGGGTTATAAATATATATATATATGGGAGTATAAAGGGGACTACTATAGGTGTATGTGGGTTAGATATAGATATATATATCTATATATATATATATGCTACCCCCCCCCACGTACCTACCCTTTTATATATATATATATATGAGGGAGTATACAGGGGACTACTATAGGTGTTATTAGGGGAACATTAGGAGTTTAGACAATGGCTCATATTCGGATGATGAGTTCCATTGCTATCGGCAGAGCTGTTGTTCATCGAGAAGCACGCGCAGTTTATGCCTGATTGCTGCAATTGTTTGAGTGCTTGCATGTAAGGTCGAGGGACAGGTGTGATGACCCAAACACTCTGAAGCCACCTCTGCCCAGGCAGATGGATTTTAAGGCCCTCGGCCCCAAATGCCATGTGACTCCTCTGCCACCCGCAAACACGAAGAACTGCTGCCGGGCTCTGGCAGCCATGGCAGCCAATCCCGCTGCAGCGGGTTGACTGATCTTCATAGATCTTGGCTCACATGAATAGGGGATTATATAGGATTCTAGGGGTTATTAAGGGGAATACTAAGGGTTTAGACTTTAGCTCACATGTAGTAAGCAAGATCCTTCAACGTGATCATGTAGCAGCGCAGCATGCAATTGTAGTGTTTCAAGCTAGCCTCGAGCTGATGCAATCTCTGGATGTCTGGCTTTCCAAATGCGGTTTCCCAAAATGAAGGGAACCTTTTTCTGGGATCCCAATATTGAGGATCATATTACTTTGGGTGTAAATTTTGGTCACCCTACTTTACTTTGGGAAACTACCAAATGATTCTGTAAGAGTTAACCCTGACTGTTGCCGTATGTTGCTTCAATCTTTTTTGTGCGGTTAAGTCAGCATGTAGCGCGTAAAGTTGAAAGGAATGTTGTTGCATCGAGCCGGCAACATCAACTCGCTGCAGGACATTCTCAGAAGTGTCCGGGAGCACGAACGCCGCCGGTGCACATGCGGAAAAGGTCAACGCGTACAGCTAAACACTTCACCGCGCTTGCAAGTGCATATTTTCAACCGCAGGCATGTGCACCTGCTCTGCTCAAAGCAGATTGAGAAACTTAGCATGCACACATGGCAACATGCTTTGCGTATGCCGGCCCCACGCATAGACTGCACTTACCTTTGCATGCCTAGGTCTTAAACCCCTAAACCTTCAAACCCCGAAATCCCTAAACCCTAAACCCCGCCAAGCATTTTGTTGGTGCAGCCCTTGAGTTCTTAAGTGTCAGCTCCACAGCACTCATTGGGTTTAGTTGCGCATAAACATGTGAACCATAATGTAAAACTCCGTGAAAGCGGCCTTTATCGGGGATTGTATATACTGAATATTATCAGGATCATAAACGGGGATATTAGGAGTTTAAAGTATAATTCCTGTGAGATGCAGCTGCATGGCCCGACACTACACTCGAATCCGCAGATGGCTTTGGCAGGCATCTTTTTTCGATTTTCCCTGCGTATTTCAGTATATGTTTTTTGTGATTGTTGATTTCCTGCTTCTGGCGGGTCGCACCAGGTACGGCCCTGGAACGTGAACCTGGGACGAATGCAACCAAAGAGCTGCCCATGCCTACTTCCGACTTGATGCAGGATACGCTCAACAGCACGGGGCCGAATGCTTGTTTTGCTGCATTTCAGGGTCTTGTGTGAATGGCATGAGGCACCAGCAAGACGCTGATGTGGCTGCAGGCCATTGCCGCAACATCCCCGCAACCAGTGACTTTAGGAGAGATCTTCTGAATTAGAAATTGGGAAGGGGCAATTCAAAATAGTTTCGGTGCTTATCGTGGAGCAAGCCATGGTCATTGTTGGAATGGTTGTCAGAATTCTCGCAAGCCAGGCCCATTACCAAGGCCACGAGCGGCCGGGAACTCATGATTTGGGGGTTTGGGATTTAAGCTTACGGTTTTAGGGTTCAGCAAGGAGCGTCTTAAAACAGGAAAGGAACAAACATAACACACATGACAGCATAAATGCTCATTGCAAGGAAATGTACCTTCTCAATGAATACTACAATTTCTTTGCACATACATCCTCTGTTGATGCACGATTGATCGTGACAGGTTGCCTTTCTCCATGATAGCGACCCCGTACACCCTAAACCTTACAAACCCTAAACCCCAACCCCCCCAGGACAGATGGAAGGAAGGTCTCCAAGGCGCGGCATTGACATGGGAACAAAGGGCAACAACAAAGCATTTGGGATGGTTTTGTACGGTCACCTCTCCGGCCCCCTATACAATTATCTCCCATACAATGTCAGTCTATTTCAAGGAAACAACTTGTTAGGCGGTGGAGGTTCAGACTTGAGTTCTCTTTCAGTCCAGATATAATGAAGAATTCAGTGACCACACATGGCTACCCTAGTTTAGCTAACCCTAAGCCCTCCCATGGCCTTCAGATTGGATCTGCCGTCAGAAAAAAAGGGGCCGCTAAACACCCTCAACCCTAAACCCTTAAACCCTAAACCCTGAAACCCTCAACCCTTAACCCTTAAACCCTGAACCCTTAAGCCTTAAACTCTAAAC